ACATGTAAGAAGTAAGAAAGTACAGGTATTTGTAGTTCAACATGTAAGAAGTAGAAAGTACAGGTATTTGAGTTCAACATGTAAGAAGTAGAGAGTACAGGTATTTGAGTTCAACATGTAAGAAGTAAAAGTTAAAAAGTTGTCAGAAAAATAAGTAGTGGAGTAAAGTACTGACACCAGAGAAATGTACTTAAGTAAGGACAGTAACAAAGTATTTCTACTCCACTACTTCCCACCTCTGATGATGTGATTTGTGTATGTTTGTTTGTTTATTTGACTGTACAGCACTTTGGTCTGGAGGTTTTAAAGTGCTTTATAGGGATGTAACAATACCAAAAACTCACGGTACGATAATATCGCGATAAACAGTCCACGGTACGATATTTATCGCGATATTGAAAAATAAAGGCAAACATTTTGATTTTCTTTTTTTTCTTTATTAAATAATAAATCTGATTCGTACAGCATTTTAGTGGGATATTAGTATTTTAAAGTGTCAACAATATAATAATCAGACCCTGCAATAGAATAAATCAAGTTTCACTTTAGTTTTTCAAGTAACTTAACTCTAACTCACTCACTCAGCATCATCAAGGTTATCTTTTAGGAATATGAGCACGTCCACATTTCCAGGTAGAAGCTGGGATGTTTGGGCGTTTACAATATCCCCTGCTGTGGAAAGAACTCTCTTGCTTGGTACTGATGTTGCTGGGACAGAGAGATATGCTTTGGCCATGGGTGACAGGCAGCAGTGGGTCAAACTGTGCATTGTTTCTCCACCACTTCAAACACAATACAGTGTTTGCCAAGAAGGTGAGGCTTATTGACAGGGTGAGATATAAATATACTGTTGGTACTTGTCTATGTCTCTAGGTGTGTACATGTAGCCCTGTAAATACCATGTCCTTTTGTGTTATCTGTTGTTTTATGTTAATGTTGTAACCTACTTGCTGCAATGTTGGACAGGTCTCCCTTGAAAAAGAGATTGATTATCTCAATGGGACCATCTGGTTAAACCATTTTTTTTATTTTAAAAACAAAATAATTAATTCTTTTAAAGATTTTTTTTTTTTAAATCGCTGTATATTTTGTCAGTCTCACGACGGTATTGAGACATCTATTTACGCCATATCGCGATATATCGTTACATCCCTAGTGCTTTATAAATAAAGCTGTATTGTATTGTATAAAAATACAATGTGTTTTTAGTGGTAAGATCTTTAAAGAGGAGATCAGAAAGACACAGGTAAATTGATTTCTTATTTCAGTGTTGGACCCTGAAGGCAGCACCTGCCTGGTTCAATGGGATCAATACCTGCACGACTCTATGAAGACGATAGCATAGCTTTTCACACCCATGCGTTGCAGACTCACCCTGCAGCACCCTGTCCAGACTATAAAGCGCTTCGTTGACGTCTGAAGACCCGGTCCGAGCTCTGGAGCCCTGAGAGAGGCTGTAGCTGAACTGAGAGCTGCTCTGCGACGCATTGTAGCCGAAACCACCTGATGGCGCATTGAGCAGAGGAGGAAGCCAAGGAAACAGATGGAGGGAGCAAGGTAGAAGGAGGTAAAGATGGAATAAAAAGGGAGGGAGAAACAGCGATAGTCAGCATAGCTCCTGCAAACAAATCAGCAGCCAACAGCCCCAAACCTGCTAACACATGTCCAAGCTAATCATGCGCTTTGCAAACCATCCCCACCATCTTTTATTTTTAAATGTTCTGTTCTGTTTCTGGCTATTTCCCATATTGCAGTGAGCATTTCCCGTGATGTTCGTCCTTCCTTCGTAGCCCTTGAGAAGGCTTGACCTTTTCACTTTTCTGGCCTCACTGGATTCCACTTCTCAAGCAAGATGAGCACTGCTCACAGTACTAAAGCAACACCTCGTGCTCCACAGGTGTAATGCATGGAAGTGTTTATCCTGCTAACTGAGAAGTGGAGTTCAGCGAGGCCAGAGTGTGCACTTTGGAATAAAAGTCTAAAAAGACTTACCTAGATCAGGGAACTTTCCGGACAAGTCTCCCATCACGATGGAGTCTCGGATGTTTTCCTCGGCGTAGGCCCGGTGCTCCGAGTGCTTCCTCATGATGACTTCTGAAGTGTGGACTCCTCCTCCTCCTCCTCCTACACTGTACCCTCCTCCTCCTACACTGTACCCTCCTCCTCCTAATCCTCCTAATCCTCCTAGACTTCCTCCTCCTCCTCCTACACTGTACCCTCCTCCTCCAACTCCTAATCCTCCTAGACTTCCTCCTCCTCCTCCTACACTGTATCCTCCTCCTCCAACTCCTAATCCTCCTAGACTTCCTTCTCCTCCTCCTACACTGTACCCTCCTAGACTTCCTCCTCCTCCTCCTCCTCCTCCTCCAACTCCGTACGTCATGTCAGTCCTACGAGTGCCTCCTACAAGAGAAAGGATAAAGAAAAACTGGAATAAATGCATGAACTTGCTGCAGAAGTGTTGGTGATTCACATGTTTAAGAGACATGGTGTTGTTTCATTAGATGGGGGTATTGGGTTCATGCTAATATATGTCGTGCACATGCTTATGGACAACTTTATGACCAAGTTTTGTTCTATTTAAGTCAACGGAAATGTACAAATTATATGTTTTAAAGTTTCTGAAGCGATTCGTTTTTTTCAGAATTAGATTTTTGTCTTTCAGAATGTAACTTTTTTAAACTGTGGTTTTTAAAAGCTTAATAATAATGTTGGTACCTGAACCGCTCATGTAGGTGGTGGATGTTTCTGTGGTGAAGGAGCTGCCCCCCCCTCCTCTGTAGTTGGTGCTCAGAGTTGACCTCGGAGAGGAAGAAGTCGACAGATTTCGAGACGCTGAACCTCCTGGGAACTGGAAGCTCGAATCCCATTTTCCATTCGTGTTGTAATCTGTGGACATATAGAAGATGTAATATAGCACAGAATGTAGCACATTTAGCGGTTAGCATTGGATCAACACATCAAGCACCGAAAAACCAGGCCAGATCTGAAGAGGAAGCAGCAGCAGACTCCAGTCCTATGGGAGTTACAGAAACTATGATCTACTACAAAATAACAAATATTCTGTGTAGCATTTTACGCTAGATGTTAGGCTATATTAGTCTAATGTTGTGCAATGAAGGTTCAAACCATATCTTGTGTGGTTGATAATAAACATACATTGTTTATATAGCACTTATTCAAATGAGAAACTACAGTATTACAGAACTACAGCAGTTGCTTTACTCAGGAATACTTGATTTCAGCTTGATTTTACCTAAAGGCCCTGACACACCAAGCAGTCACCAGAGAACTCGCCGATGCCGACGCCGACTGTTGCGTCGGCGTGATCTCATGCGTCTTGGCCATGTGTCGCACTGGAACACACCACAAAGACCTCAGCAGAGTACGGACGAACTGCGCATGCGTGAGTGGCAATAACTCTCCTTACCAGCAGGCGGCAGTAGTGTGTATTCATCATTAAAAACAGGCAACAACCGGAAGACAGAGAAGAAGAACAGACTACGTGATATAAACAAAGAACAAATAGCGTGTGCGTTCCATTTTCACTCTCTTCCATCGAAAACATGTTTCGTGCGGTACTGGAGCTATCAGCCATTGGAGTGTTGCTTGTGGAAGACATTAGCTGTGTCCCAATTCAGCGGCCGCATCCTCCTGAGGACTCAACCGACGTGGGTCCTCCGCAGAATGCGAAATGAGACGGTCTACGGAGCATTTCCTGGTACGTCACCGGCAGTTATCCCTACCTTTTGCCGCCCCCGTCACCTAGCAACCAGCTGCAGTCACAAGTGCCAGTAATAATTTCTGACATTAGGCAAAATATTTTCAAACGTTTCAATATGGAGTCAGAGATAGTGCTTTTTTTGGTGATGTTATATGTTG